GGAGAGACGGACAGAGAGAGAATAAGAAACGCTCGAAAGCTGTATAGTTTGGCGATCGGCTGGTAGGATTAGAGAAGAACCAGAGAAATATTAGGGATAACGAGAGAAGGAGTAGAGGTGGTGAGGTAGAGAAGAGAGAGAGAGAGAGAGGAGAGAGAGAGAGAGACGAAGAAGAGAGAGAGAGAGAGAGGAGATAGAGAGAGAGGAGAGAGAGAGAAAATGGACGAAGCAGAAGAAAAAGAAGGAGATAGAATGAAAGAAATAAAAGCCAAAAGAAAAGAGAAGGAGGGGGAGAGGATCACGATGAAGGAAGTAGGTTCAAAAAAAAAACTTGCTTAAAAATGACAACAAAAGGTCTCGTTAAAACCGAAGAGAGTGGGAGATGGGAGGGAGTAGAGTTTCACGGGAACCTGCTCCTGATGATTGACAGCTTAGGGGACGGGGGGAGACGCCGAAACATGAACCGGGTATGATTATCAAGAGAGAAGCCAAGTAGGTGGTATAGAGAGAAAAACGAGAGGAGAGAAAGGGGGGATATTTAGAGTGAACAGAAATGGGGAGTGGAGAGTAGTGAGGGAGTGACCTAGTGCAGTGAAAAAAGAAAGAAAGAGAGAGAGAGAGAAAGGGGGGGGGGTGAACGAATGAAAGCAAGAAAGAAAAAGAGGAGAGATACATAGAGGAAAAGAGATAGAGAAAGAAGTAAGAAGAGGGTGGACGAGGGAGGAGAGGAGGTTGGGGGGAGGAAAAGGAGAGAAAGAAAGAGAGGTGGAGGAGAGAGAGAGAGAGAGAAAGACCTAGGAAAAGAGAGAGAGTGAGTGAGTGAAAGAAAACGAGCGAGCGAGAGAGAGAATGAGTGAAAGAAAAAGAAATGTATTTCTCTAATTATTCTGGTTAGATTTTTTTAAAAACTATATGTAATGCTTTCTACAAGCATAAGGATTTTCTTGTCATTATCGTCTCGGAACTAACGAGGCAAGGGATACTGTGATTTTGACAGCGTTTTTTTTTTCTCTCTCATTGTTGTTTACATTTACCTCTTTAATGCAAATATTTTGTAAAATTTGGGGGAAGTTGGTAAGGAAATGTGGATTTGATAACCGAAGGAAAAGAGAAAACAAGAAATTATTGAAAATAAAAACATGAACGAAATCGAAAAGGAAGCAACATTTTTTTTTTAATTCCAGGTGTTTCCGGTTTAATAAAGAAGGGATCAAGTATAAAGATTTATAGTTTTCATTCACTGCATTATTACTTTTAATCTTTCTGGTATAGTTTTTACTACAATTGTCTGATTATATTTCAGATATCTGGAGGCGCCCAAGCACCAATTCGGACCTTTGAAAGATGTGTTCGACGTTATCCTTTCCTTTTTTTTTTTCTTTTTTTAATCTATTTTTGTAACACTTTCGTACTGTTATTTATATTACCATTTCTAGCACTAATTAATGACGATGACAATAAAAATAATGATAATGATAATAATCATAAAATAATGATAATAATCATAAATGATAATGATAATAAGAATAGAATAATGACAATGTTAGCATAATAATAATAATGATGATGATATCAATAATCACAATAAATAATAATAATAATGATGATGATAATAAAAACAATTTATTCACAATTGCGTATAATTTGAAATGATTAATTATTTAACACTGATTCTACCGAATAATACACATAAAATGAGAGAGAGAGAGAAAAAAAAAAGACACTGAATGATACAGAACAGGAGAACTCTGAGATATATAGCAGTTTAAAATAGAATTTGATAACTATGTTTACTAAATTGTACATACCAATATATTATACTGAACACCTTTCATTGGAGTAACTGCTAACCTAACATTCATTTTTCTAACCAACGAAGGATATATATCAGTGTTTTCCAAACGTTTTTTGTGTGCGACCTTAAGTCAGTCTTAGCCTGAGCCAGCGATCCTAAAATGTGTGAACATGTAGTAAATCTCCAACCATTTTAAAGGCATTAGAATATTTACAGATGTATATTAAGCTTACGGTATTCTATACTTATATGCTTATATATTACAACATATTGAATCTTAATAATAAGGTTTAATAAGTAACATGACTTTTACTGATATATTCAGCTATAGTAATATATACTTGATGTTAAATTTATTGGAAGGGGAAGGGGGGGGGGTAAGGTAAACGAACGAATTATAAGATTTAATAACGGATAGAAAAGATAAACATGTATAAATACGAAAAAGAAAAGAAAAAAAAACAATAATTTAATTTATAACTTTGCATTAGACTATCAATAAAAAACTAAACTCTCTACACAATACGCTCGCATCATGATATTTGGGCACTTTTGTAATTAACATAAATATGGGTAGATGGCATGCAAGAATAGACAATAGCTTAAGTACTCAAGACCTTGATCAGAATTAATAATAATATAGTAATGATAAGTAACAACAATAACAAAAATGGTAATGAGTAAGTAATACTCGTAGAGTGTAATGTATAATAGAGTGGTGACGATATAATCAATGGTGAGCTCTTATGGATATCGGACATTTTAAATACCCAGAGAATAAATAATACGCATTGGACTTGAACGAACAATGTACTTACAAGGATGAAATTAATTAAATTAACATGAGTTAATAGAGATTATGTAATGATACAGAGTTCGATAGCTAATAAGTTATTGCGTTACAATGATATATACGGTTTGAAGATATAGATAATTTATAGACGATGGATGTTCAGGTATATCAGATAGATTAAACAAGATAGATAAGAATGAAAAAATAACATAAGATCACACATTAATAGAGAGATATGGTTAACCGACTATGATAATCAGCGCGAGATAGAAAGTATAGTAGAGTTATTGCTTTTTAATAATAATGTCACAAAAGATCATACTCAATGTCTCTGAGCCTCATATAAAATGATAATCACAAATAATAATGATAAAAACGTTAGAAACTCTTGAATTTGCATATACTCATGATAATAGATGTTAAAAATTGAATAGAATGAAATTGAATTATCAATTAGGTAATTAATAATGCAATGATATTTTTAATACTACTACTACTTACTACTACTTAATATAATGAACAGAATCAATAATAATAATAATTCGAAATAATAAAATGATGATAGTTATATTTGGGATTATAACATCATAACAATACACTAGTAAATAGTATATGATAATAACAATAATTATAATAATGATGTTAACTAATTAATATATGAATAATACCGTACAGTGATACTGATAATAATAATAATCCATTTATAAGATAATAATGATTAAATTAATTTATAATGATAACCAATGATGAATAATGATATTGAATAATAATATAAAAAGATAGCTGATTGATACAAATAAAAACAATAAGATATAAACTATAAAAAGATAATAGACTAAATATTGTGGATATTGCTGAGCCTGCATAGGAAGAGACTTTGAAAGTTGCGTATGAGCGAGAGAGAGAGACGAGTGTGAGGGGAGGGAGGAAAGGGGGGGGGAGAGAAGAAAGAAGGAGTGGGCGAGAAGAGAGAAGAGAGGAAGAAGAGAGATGAGAAGAGAGAGAGAGAGAGAGAGGAGAGAAGAGAGAGAGAGAGAGAAGAGAAGAGAGGAGAGGAAGTGATAGATGAAAAACAAGAGAGTAATTAAGAGATAGATAGAGAAAGGGGGAGGAGGTTGGGTAGATAAGTAAACTTCAAGTTTTTCATTATTGTACTAATATTACTATATTGAAAACAGACCTGTCTCGAATGCAGTAAGTTGCATATGATTGAAAGAGCAAGAAGAAGAGAGGAGGGAGAGGGGAAAGGGAGGTAGGGTGAGAAGAGAGAAAGAAGGGATAAGTGAATAAAAAATACGCGAAATCGGCATAAGAATAGAAACTCTGAGGTTTTGGATATTTTGTATAAGTTTCGTCAATATTTGCTAAGTACATAGGGTAATGTATTTTGCTTAAGGCACATTCCACTGGAAATAACTGTGAACAATTTGTTTATTAACGATAAAAAATCATTGTAAAAGTTATACGAAAGAATAAAATATGTTGTTGAGTTGATGATAGAATAAAACCTGTGATACTGATGACCTCCTCTGTTTTAATAATAAAAACAGGCCTATCTAATATACAATACACAGATTTCTAACATAAATGTTCAGCTTAAAACACCTTAGACAGTAAGTAGAGTAATGAAAACATTCAAATTTACAAGATCCTCCCATTTTTCAAGGACCTCCGTGGTCCAGTGGTATCGTCTCTAACTTCGTGACGAAACAGGCATGGGATCGAATCCATGAAGGCAAGTGTTAAGGCTTCACAGTAGCCCCTGTTCCAAATACCCTTTTTTTTGTTTTTTTTTTTTCATATTTAAAAGATAATTTAGCTTTGAAATTATGAAAGTGTTTTTATGTAAGCGTTAGAATAGTTCTTCTTGTCATTATTGCCTGAGAAATGACGAAGCGAGAGATGACAATGATTATCGTGCAGCGTTTTTTTTCTTATTTCTTTCCATTGTTTGTTTATAATTATTATTACTGTTACACATAAATTGTAAAAAGGGAGGAAATAAACAAGAAAAGTATGATATAAGGCGAAAGGTTGGATTATATGGACTAGGTGTATATAGGTGGAACGCGCAGAAAGGTAGTAGAATTGAACAGAGGTTTGGATTCACGTGCCGCGTCCTAGTCGCCTCTGAGCGTGAGGCGGTATTTGTTTCGGAGGTATCTACTTGTCTTGTGTCTTCATCTAAGTCTATATATTATTTTGTTGCGATATAAGTCATTCATATTCATTTTTTGTTGTGATGTCTGTGGGTTTGCAATAAATTCTTCGGGCATTTATATGTATATATGTGTAATTGCATGTGTATGTACGTATGCACAAGTAAATAATGTTATCGAGGGCAGAGCCACTCCCAGTTAAGGTCAAACAGTGGAAAAGGTCGGGAATCCGGACTGGCGGGCCGGAGGGAAGAGGAAGACGATGGTGCGGGGGGGGGGGGGAGTATCTATTCCTATCAATCAACAACAAAAGAAAATCTTGAATTAAAGAGACGCCTATAATTATGGTTCACAGCGGCGGTGCTATTCCTGATCAATCAAAGGTAATTTTTTCCTAAATTAAAGAGATACATAGATTGCGTAATTTGGTCGATGAGCGTTTAGAGCTAATGACAGTTATGACGAGACGATCACAATGAAATAACAATAATAACCATGATATAAGCAATAACAGAATGATTATGATATTGATCATTATCATCAGAATACTAATGATACAAAAGCAGTAACGATAACATTAATATACATCATAAAACGAACTAAAAGAAAAACAGCATTTATAAACAACAAAAACAACATAAAAGATCTTCCTCTTTTGCCATCAAGGTTTCTTTAATCTCTGCAAACAACCTCATGCATTTGTTACCTTCGGCCGCTCATCTCGGGTGCTTGAGGTGCTTTATCATTCTTATCTTCGAGAATCCTATTCTAAGATTATCATTTCTTTGTGTTTTTTTTTTTGCAATTGCCTTTGTAATCACTTGTACAATGTCACAGGTAATGTTATCATTCCTATCATTGTTTTCATTATTATTATAATTTTATCATTACTATTATTATTATTATCATTATTATCATTTTTATTATTACTATTATCATTATTATTATCATCAGCATTATCATTACTATTATTATTATCATTATTATTATCATCATTATCATTACTGTTATTACTATTATCATTATAATTATTATTATCATTATCAGTATTATCATTGCTATTTTTTTTTACCATCATCTCTATCTCCTTCATCTCATTTTTATTTTCATTATCATCATCGCCGCCTCGTCGCCGCCATCACGCAGTTGCAGATCACATTCGTAAAACCTTTTACTCCGCCGATTTCAGTGTCACGCCCTCCTTTGTGATAATAAAGATAATAATAATAATAAAGATAATAATAATAATAATGATAATAATAATAATAATAATAATAATAATAATAATAATAATAATAATAATAATAGTGATAATGATAATAATAATAGTGATAATAATGATAATAATAATAATAATAATAATAATAATAATAATAATAATAATAATAATAATAATAATAATAATAATAATGATAATAACAATGATGATAATGATATAACAATAATAATAATAATAATGATGATAATAATAACAATAATAATAATATAATAACAATAATAATAATAACATTAATAATAATGATAATAATAATGATGGTGATGATAATAATAATAATATTGATAATAATAATAATGATGATAATAATAATGGTGATGATGACAATAATAATAATAACAATAATAATAAACATAATAATAATAAACATAACAATAATAACAATAACAGCAACCTTACCCTCACCGCCCAGAATTAACCCAGCATGTCTCCCTTCAGCACTTCATGGAACGCGAGCGAGGAAAGGTTGTCGTCTACGTCACCACGCTGGGCATCGTTCGCGACACCTACGAACGCTGCCTAAGAATCCGCAAGATCCTGTGGACGCTGTTGGTTCGCTTCGAGGAGAGGGACGTGTTTATGGCGCGGGATACCCAGATACAGCTCCTCGACCGCCTCCATGCCCGCGGGGTCACGGTGCCTCACGTCTTCCTCGAGGGGCAGTATTTGGGGGTGAGTGGTTGTGTGGAGTTGAGGAAATCTGGAGAAGGAGGAGGAGGAGGAGGAAGAAGAAGAAGAGATGGTGGTGGTGGTTGTTGAGGAGGAGGAGGAGGAGACGATGAATCTCGTGGACTTTTTTTTTTACTCTTTTATTGGTCTTTTCCTCAAGTTTGATTGTTTTCAATTCTTTCCATTTCAAAGATATATTTTATTTTCTAGGAAAAAGTTATAGACAAGTTGACTTTTCCGTTTTAAAAATCTCAAAATTTCCTCCTAGTTTCGCTTCTTGATTGAAGTTACGTCATTTTGATCTCGTAACATTTATAAAAAGATATCTTTCAATATCCTTTTTTTTTTTACCAGGAAAAAAACACTTGCATTACCCGTAAAACTCATTTAGTTTCATTTCCTTTTAATTATATGTTGCAAATGTAACTAGAGATACTTTATCGTTTTACACTGATGAGACCTTGTAAAACCAAAGGGAAAGACACCTCGAGGCCTCTTATTGTCTATGTCGTTCCTCTGGTTTGGCTTTCGCCAATGGCAACCTTTTTTTTTTTTTTTTTTTTTTTTTGACGTTTGGGAAATGAAACGTTCAGACGCTGTTCTTGTTCTCAGAATATACTGGTCTGATTTATATCTATATTGTTTTGAAATATGTATTCTGTATGTCAAGTTACTGTTCTTCCAGTTCTTCGTTAGCCATTGTCAATAGCATTGTCTCAGCCTTATATTGGCACTTTCTTTGTCTCTCTTCATTGCATTCCGTTTTAAGTCATGCCAGACGTCCTCGCTTCCCGTCTCATGACTCACACATCCTTCTGCCTCTTGAAAGTGCAAGGTGATGCCACTCACGACGCAGGATAGCTTTCTGTTCTCCTTTGCCCCCCGCGTGCACTTTTTACTGTGCGAGATTCGTCATTGAAAATACACCTTGATTCTCCTTTTTTCCGGACGGGTGCAGGAAGTGTTAAATGATGATATTTATGAGCAATCTTTCTCTCTGATAATTATTGGATATTCAGGATATTTGAAAAAGTTTAAAGTGGTTTATAATTACTACAAAGGGAATTACGAGTACATGGAGTGTCGGAATAAGAAAATGTTATGAAATGTACTTTACACTAATTATTTCGGCGTTTTTCTTTACAGGATGCTGAGCAGATCGAGCGATTAAATGAATGCGGGGAATTACGTCGTCTTCTTCAGCCGTACAGGGTGAGTGGTTTCTTTTCCATTATGAAGCTTTCCCGCCCCCTGTTGTGTGATTTTTAGATATCGCAATAAGAGATAAGTCCGTCGTCTCCACCTTGAGTAAGCATGACTACGCAATTGTTTTTCATAAAGGCGGCATCTCTGATTGTAAGATTTATATCTATCACTTGAGTCAGTCGGTAAAAACGAGGGTGATCCAGGTTGAGATAGAAAGGAAATCACCAAAACTCCCTCCTGCTAAACATCACTAATGGCGGCCTTCCTTCCTCCCCGACAGCGAGCGGCCTCAGCCAGCACGTGCGACACCTGCGGCGGCTTCCGTCTCCTCCCGTGCACCGTCTGCAACGGGTCCAAAAAGTCCGTCCACCGCAACGACTGGACGCTCGAATTCGTGGCTCTCAAGTGCTCCAGCTGCGACGAGTCCGGTCTAGTCAAGTGCCAGGACTGCGCCGAGTACAAGGACGTTAATGGTAACCACAACGGTTAACGACTGAGTCCCCGGACGCACGGAAGAGAAGCGAGATAACCGCGTTTTCTTGATCTATGGGACTTTTAAAGAGTGTATATATACAGATATATATTTATATATTCTGCTTTTTTGAGCCATGTATCAGGAGTTATATTTGGTTTTAGACAATCCTATGGCTTAAAATATGTCCTTTTTCAGGGAGAGAATGCTCGAGATATTTATTGCAATGTGTAAATAGCACATGCATTACGTTTACACAACTCTGCCGTAGTGAAGTCTTTTGTTCCTTTTTTGCAAAGATGTCTTTAAAAATAAAAAAAATATATATATATATTAAAAATATATAAAAAAGATGGTTGTTTTAGTTTTAACTGAATATTTTACAGTCATTTGAGTCACTTAGATAAGTCAGCTGTAGCACAAAGTGGTATTGCAATATCAGGTAACAAATATAAATAAAATCACATTATCGAAAAGATTTCCCACTTTCTTTTTTAAAATACAAAACAAAGAGAATGGGTAAATCTAGATCTTGCAAAATGACCTTGTGCCGTATAAAAAAACATTGCAATTCTATCTGGTTACACTGACCTGGTTGTATGTGATGATTGCGTTTTAAATTGTTGTGTATAGTTCGTTTTTTTCGTGTAATTGAGTATGCTATTATGTGGTTGTTTAGTCGATGACAAATGGGAATTCAGTTGATGATAATTTTGTGATACATATGATTAATATATTGTGATATACTTAATATATTGTCATTCATCTATGGAAACGTGATTCAGTTGCTTATACACAATTCTTATGTATATGTGGTATAGAGTCCTTTTGTAGTTTCTTATGGTGGAGGAATTGAGTGTCCTTTATAGGATGCTGAAGACAGCGAATGGGTACAAGAGAATGTTCTGTAGCCGTTAGCTGTTTTTATCATTCTTTTTAGTGAGTTGATCAGCTTTTGGACAAGGCTCACGCTGGTTGTGATTCACGCTGTAAATTACCTACAGTCATCGCATATGGTGTGTTTTTAATTACCTCAAGTCCCTTTTTTGGCGAAAGGGAACCAACATACATGCATACCTACACACATCCTTCCCCCTAAAAAAAAAAAAAAAAAAAAAAACACACATCATGCACAATGTGGATATTTATTGTCATTGGGACATTTGTACTGGCTTAACACTCTTACCATGGGTTAAGGTTTTGAGAGGGGCATCTTAATTGTATTGTCTTGTGTACCTCTTTTGACACTTTGATTTGATACACATTCATATGCCTTTGCTTACTACATATTCACTGGATATTCCTAACACTCTGCTTAGGTCTTTGACGGTTGGGATCTCATAATCACTTTCATACCTAATATCCATATCATAATGCCATTGAAAGAGTTTAGTTGACAAAGCTATTAACGGTAGATCATCAAAACATTTTTACTACAGAGCGCTAGCTTTGTATCCATTTTTTGTTGTTATAAGTTTCATTAGTTTGCATTACCTCTTCAGAAAATTCATGAAACTGCCCTAAAGAGTGGCTAGGTGACTTGCCATGTGATATTTGACTGATCTCTTGACCAACTGGTGTTACAAGTACTACATACCTAATACAGGTATATCATACTCACATGTTAGTATTTAGGTATACACAACAAAAGTATGATAAATTTGTGTATTCTCTGTTATTAGTCTTCTGAAAAAAAAAAAAAAAATTTGGCCGAATCTTGCACTTGGAATTGCAAAATTGAGCCGAAGGATTTTCATTTTGAATGAAGTGAAAAGAACAGATGAACTGCTGGGAATAAAGGGGTGTTGTAATAACCTGACTTTTTTGCAGTTCCAAGTGTAAAAATGAAATGTAATCAGTGAGTCAGAGACAGTGTTGTTTGGTTGGAGATGTTTGGTTGTCTGTAGTGGGGAGATTAAATATAGAAATGATAATGTTTCCTGGGTTTTAATGCTGAAACATCCTGCACTGCAAGCATACCATTTATTGTACATTATTATCAGTCTCTTGTGAATATAAAGCAATGTACAATATTGTTATTTGTTCCTATTCTATAATGAAATGAGACATCAAAGAAGAAAGTATTATCTTCTTCCTAGTCAAGATTTGAATTTGAGTTTTTGTTTTATTCTCAGTGATTGTCAGTGATATTACTAGTCATGAAAATTGTTTGTAAGTACGCCAAATACTACAAATAAAAAAGATATGCTAACCCAACAAAAGTGACAAGACAGCATTTTCTGCAGAAAGATCAAGAGTCCTATATCTAAACTCTTCAATGACACAGAAAAATCTTTACAAGAATTTTAATTAGCCATTTGCTTCAGAAACTTCAAGAAAAATTGTTGACAAAGAAAGTGTAATTGTAAGTGAAACAAATTTTATACCCTTAAACTGCTAGCAACTTCTAGAAAAAAAAGAAAAAAGAAAAAAGAAAGAAAGAGAAAAAAAAATCAACAATGTAAATATCAATACCATCTGTATGTTTTAGTAAAACTGCATACTGTACCGTTCAAAATTCATATATTTCGTTCACATTGATACACAAGACGATACAAAGATGCATATGAGTAAAAGAATTTCATTTAAAGGACACCATGAAACTGTAAAACTGAAAAATAAAAAATAAGTGTAACTAAATCTCATTAATCTTTACTGAAACTTGTGTAATGAAGAACAGAAAGAAGTCATAAATTTTGGCCAATTGCCTGAAACTCAATCAAATTCTTTTCATGAAATATAAATGTACTTTTTGATATATTCCAAGAAATATGAAGTGCATCTACATTGCCAAGTTACTTATGTGTGAAAAGATATAAGAACATTAAACAAAGACTGTGCTCAAATGGTTTCTAATAAAAAAAACTATTGTGTAACAATTTTTAAAAAGGTACTATAATGAAACATAGAAATGAAATACCTTCCTTCAACATTTTTTTTTTTTTTTTTTTTTTGCATTAGTTTGAATAAATTATTCAATACTTATCAAGCAGCCATTAAACAATAAATGTGATGTGACAAACTAAGACAATTACCATAAAAAGCAAATTAATATCTATCTTCATTAAAGAAACCTACATGTAATTAGGAATTTCATATAATGCAGAGACTTTCATCTATCATATTTCTGTTCCACCAAAATAAATCAAATATTCCTTTCAAAATACAGACATGCACACTTAATTTTCTTGCTGCACAAAAGGATTTGCAATTGCCTCACAGCCATCCATAGGACAGATAAGTACAACAGCTGTTCCTCGACAGACCACCAACCCTCTCTCCTTTGTGTCTTCTGTTAGTTTGTAAGGGTCATCTGGATCTGAAAGAGATCAAATGTACCATCAGATCATTGTAGCAAATGCTCATATGAGATGTGATACCTGAAAAGATCTCTTCCAAAATGATGGGATAGGCTGAAAAAGAAAAGAAGGACAAGGGAGAGGGTCACACATAAATGTAGCAGGACAAACAAAGATACAGCAAATGGGACAGATACACAACAAAAAACAGTCACAGAAAAAAAGGGAAACAGGGGCAAAGACCCAAATACACTGACTGTGACACATCAAAACAGAAACAGAGACAGGAACTAAGATGGGAGAGATGAAGCTGGAGGCATATAATAGTGTCAATGACATTAATACAGACATTAAGAAATGTTGGGAGAGAAGAGACATACAGACACAAGTAAAGCAAAAGAATGATTAGCATTTGCCTTATCCACCAACATCTTGAGCCTCACCTCTAAGGTACTCTATGGTATTATCAAGCACAAGATTTAGAAGCTGGTCGAATCCCTTCAAAATTCCTGAAGCTTCACGTCCACCGGAAAACTTCACCCTAATTGCCTTGTCAAGATATTTGCTAAGGTCAAGGATGGACTCTTTTCGTTTCTTATCCTTTGGTTCTCCATTCCGTGCTCCTGGTCCACCCTCTCGACGTTCACCAGGCCCGGTGGCACCTGCAGCAGCAACTGTTTCTCTGCTAACACCACCTCCACCTGCACCGCCACCATGCTAATAAAAGAAGATCTACATTAAAGTCATTATCAAAAGGGTTAATCTTTACAACATGGATGCTCTAAGGCAAGGCAAATTGAAGATGATATTCTTACAGAGGATTAAAAGTTCTAGTCATTGGTACAAGAAATAATCTGCAGACACGAACAGTAATGCCACAAATAAAATAAAAAGATCAAGAAAAGTTCCACTCACACTTAGATTGCTGAAAAATTTTGTGATGTGGAGTTGGGGGACTTAGTCTATTGAGTGAGTTCATACTGTGAAGAATTACCCTTACAAGTTTCGACAACAGAATACATAATTCTTGTACTTTAAAAAATCTATAATCATATTTTTTAAAACATCAAATACACACATTTGTTATACTGTACCTATTTCAAGCTTAATAGACAGTCAATAGCAATAATCAAGCAACAAACAAAAAGAGAATGGCCTCTGGATTTGTTTTGATATATACTGTTCAAATTTATTTGCTTTAGTCCATGAAAATAGTATTGGCAGTAATCTTCAGCAATCCATATCATTCTAAACAAAGTACCACTGTCATAGTAGCAGGCAATGTTGATGCTCTCTCAACTCTTGTTGAACCTTAGTGCAGTACCTCTATATAGTTAGTTGGTGGGAGTAGATCCTATTGGAAACTGCTTGAAAGTGATGTCATCTATTGCTACTATTATCATATTTACATTACTAACCCTGCAATCTCAATTGCATTGTATATATAATTTTTTCTTACCTACTGGAGCCAATGTAGTTCTTATAAGTAAGCTTCTGTATATAGTACACATTAAATACTTTTAATACCAATTTTGTCAGTATCAGCAATGTGGAGGATCTCTACAGACTTACAAAGAAAGGATTATTGGCATATAATCAGCTTCTCCTGAAAAATGTCAAAGTTCAGAATCTTTTGTGACAATAAGTGTCTTGACTTGGAAATCTTATTCATGTGAGTGGTTTTAGACGTACAAAGAGGGCAATGCAAACAGAAGCTGCCTGAAATCAACAAAGCAACGGATTCTGGTACATTTCAAGTGTGATATACTTGTTACACACAGAAGATGAAATTTAATATATAGCATGCAGAGCAACAAACTCAACCTTGGCATAATGGCCTTTGCAGGATTACTGAAGAAACTCAAAATCAGTGATCATTTGGATTTATGTAACCAGTTAAATATCTCAATCCTTTTTAATTAGTGCCAGCTGTCACAGAATTTTTAAAAAAACTTAGAATTTACATATAATTAGCCATTCCATATTCTTTTTACTTAGAAACTTTATTGATTATACTAAGCCAAAGAGATTACGGTATAGTTTCAGTTCCCACAGCCATAAAATATAAGGTAAGGTTTGCCTGTAATGAACAGAATGACAGAAAATAGGACTTTTCATCTATGGTATTTCCTTCATATGCTCATAATAAGAAAGTTGTGCAACACAAAATACTTTGCTGTACATCTACAGGAAAATGTAATGACACTATCATAGAGAGAAATAATCTGTTCAGGAATAGAATAACATCTGAAATGAAGAAAATAAGTTGTGACTAATGCCATGTGGAGAGTAAGTCCAATGCAAACAGGTGGGGTTCCAAAGACAGAGCCCCTAATAGGGAGCTATAGTGATTGAATGGGGGTCTGGGGGTGAAGCTTCTGGGGGCAAAGTTCCTGGGTTAGGAAGGTTTTTGGTTCATACAGCAAGGTTTGTGGATCACAAGGAGTGGCTGGAGTAAAAGGGTCATTATTTGTTTCCCAAAGTGATACATCCTCTGGAGACTAAGTCCAAACCCAGGTTGAACCCAAAAATGTAAACCAAACCTTTCCTACCTTCTATTTGTTCCCCAGACAGTGGGGTGTGAGGGTATTGTGGACTTAGTCTCTGAGTGGTGATATGTTGTGGATATTTTTCTCATTTCGCAGTAAATATTAGGCATTGTATCTGTGTTGTTTATGACTCCATTTCTTATTCTCTATAAGATGGCGGTGTAATTCCCCTCTACCTCTGCATGTTGCGCTCGGTAACATTAATCACAGGGGTGACGTCCATTCATAAATTAACAAGCAATCTACTTTATAAACAGTTACCCATCTTTGCATGCATATCATAAGTGATGGAAAATAGCAGATTTGTACTCATCACAGTGTGAATAATTGAAACAGGACTAATAACCAGTGTTGGATGGCTGTGTGAAACAAAAAAATTACCGATTTTACTTTATAGAAAATCTAGCAAGAGGAATAACAGGCCAAGAGGTAAGACAATACTGACACTCCATCCCAAGGTGAGTGTTTACCGGTATTTTAGAAATTAAAATGATAAAAAAGGAATTTTACAACACCCTCATGAGGATAAACACCCAAGCTAATCTGTTCCAATCACAAGTTCAATTCCTTTAAATTATTTGCTTATATATCTATGCAAAATTATAGAAAAAAGAACAGAAAATATTATCCCTATTCCCATTGCCTGTGAAACACCTTGTACTCTACTCTCCGTTTCTGCCCCTTATTCACACACAATACATCATCATATTGCCTCACACTAACTCACAAGCCCTAGATTTAGATTTCATGGGCGTGACAACTTTTTACTACCTTTGGAACTGATAAAAACGTATGAGGAAGAGAATGCTTACTGAAGCCATGTTTTGAAAACGTTGTTGTTGAGACTGCGATTCTGCTCAGTGCATTTTAGACTTTCTTGTTGTCTGAGGGATTTAGTATGATATTTCAGAGCTGCAATAATTTTTCGTATAATTCTTAGTAACATGGGTGGGTGAAAAGTACATTTGGAATGTATTTTCTATGAGAATTAATTTCATACGAGCTTAAAATATTTATTAACTGGAAAATTCCTTCATGTATTCTTAGACTTAAAATCAGAGTATTGAATGATATCTTTCACGTGATAGAATACGTAAATAAACACGTGAACGGACACAAATATAATACGCCAGTACCTCTTACCGCAGAAGTCAACATGTTCCCGAGGCTGAGATGCACTGCCGTTTCTTTCCGGCAATTATTAAGAACAAAGAGTAACGTGGGTGCGACAGTTACAAGAGCGTGTAGTATAGAGACAAAGTGTTATAATGGTGAGTGTTAAATTGATAGTATCCTTATTCTTTCTAAATATGTGCGTTCTTGATCATGCCGTTGTCTGTGCCGAAAGATTCAGTATTTGCCTATTGTAGTTTTATAGTAAGATAACGCGTTACACTCATGTTACAGCATATTTGCGCTTAATTGTGGACACGAAGGGGATCATTGTGAGGATTGGTTCAAGAAAGACGCTACAAAACAAGTTACCGAAGTTATTATGTAATATGCAAATCCCTATAGGCCCAATTGTGCCTAAAGGTGCTGTCACACTAGCACTTTTTCCGTCAATTTTTTGACAATTTTCTGAAATTTTGTCCATTTTTGAGCGAATTGTCGATTTTCCAGTCAGATGATAATGATCGTTTCCGTCTGAAAACCTTTCCAGTTATGCTCTTTCACTGTGCAATAACATCATATCCCTAATAAAATAGTGTCCTTAATTCATCTTCCAAATAACGGCATTGGCCTCTACTATGCTTATTTTATTTATTCTTGCTAATATCTAATCACCAACACTATGAGAAACATAATTATAATGATCCATAAAAGCTAAATTACATGCAAATCAGGTAAATTGTTCTGTTAGTGTATAATCAGTAATTATGAAATTATTGGAACTCATAGTTAAGGTTAACTCTTGTCTGCTCTTCTAAAAGGCCATGATGGTCCACTGCTTACAAAAGTTTGCTGGAGACCAATACAGTTTATAATTATCTGCCCTTGCAACTCGACCATGATTATTGCATTACTAATATAGTTATTTGATAATGTTATCTGTAAGAATTTCAGTGTAATATCCTGTAATATACGGTGTATACGCGTGGTCTTTATATTTTGGGTACCACTTAGTCCAGTGCAGACGATACATGATGTATTATGGCGCATGCGCAGATAAGCGTATACGATCTGTCTACACTCGCATGTATCAGTGTATGCCATTCCACATTTATGCTTTCAAAGGCCTTTATTAATGATGTTATACCTCATTCACATGTTTTAAGATTGATTGTACAGGTTGTAATGGGAATCGGTCTGAAGAACCTTCTGTGCATGCACATTTTTGCGTTTCTCGCCACCAGGTTTGACAGCAGGATTCCTGGATGACAATAGGCCATTATGAAATGTTTTTGTTTTTGGTGTTGCGTCGATTTTAGGTTATTCGTAAGACTATACAGTGGCAATGAAGAAGAAGAAGAAGACCTAAATAACAATCGCAGTTTGATTTCTGAGTACATCAAATACCCCAAATCCACAATAGACCAACTGACCGATGGACTAACCTAAAGAAGCAAAGGAAAATTTGACAGTTTGGTATTTTGATATGTAAAGGTATTTGGTTTATTGTTTACAGTATGGATGTAGCTCTATCTTGCAGTACATACCAAGGTGGAGAGAATGTGTCTTGGGGGGTGTTGGGGGGCAGAGCCCCCCATCAACCCTCCCCTCGGGCAATGCCTGAAGAGCACGCCTAGTCACGGCACTGCAAATTGCTAGTTTAGGTTGGGTTATGGGTCAGGACGGTATTTTGTGTTTGGAATGTGTGAAATCCCATAGATTTTGCTGAAAGATGCATTGGATTTCTGTAGAGTTTTGGCGCGTCGGTGCATAGACTATCAAAGATGGCGGACATGTCCGTAGGGTTTCATTAGCCGATTTTTTGTTTTTGTTCGCTATTCTTTTTATTTAAGCCTATTTTACCCCATAATTTCCCTGATATATTTCATGCCCCCCTCCTATCGGGACTAAGAAATTAAGATTGTCGATGGAAGTGGTACTCAGATCTCATCAACGAAGCATTTGCACAAGAAACATCAAGAATCATTGAAATCAGTGGATTTTCTGCAGATAGATATCAAAATTGTTTCAAAAGTAAGCCACTACCCTGTCCTACATATTGACTGCTTCATGGGCTGTTATTCCCCCCCCCCCACCCACACACACACACACACACATACATATGTCCACTTCCCTGTTAATGTACCCAGTGACAATATATAGCAGAAGGGGATAAAATTTCATTGGTGATTTTCTCGAACCCATTTGCATCTTAAAATCCATTATATTTGATATCAGTTGATTCGTCATGGTCTCATATGCATGTGCCTAGTCAGCACTATGCAACAGTAGCGATGCTACAAAAACCGGATATATGGGGAGGGATTGAGGCATCATCGGGAAGTGGTCAGTTTATATTTGTTAGGTTTGGAAATGATGGCTATTACCTATTTCCAGGTGAAGACTTGTGTTTTTGTGATGACTTTCCTCATGTTTTGAATAAATCCAGTGCTCATTTCCATTGCAATGTTACGTTTTATTGAATGGCAAGGTTTTTGTCATAGAGGTCCCCATCCCATCTCCCACTTAGAAGGCAAAATCTCCAGTGGCATATCTCAGTCTGCAAGGAAAGATCCCTTACCACACACTCAGTCCCAAGTTACTATGCAAATTATAGGTCTTGGATGTAAATATTGTGCTTAAGTTTATTTATTAATGCTACCAGCTGCTGCTGGTAAATTTGATGGGTTTTAAGATGCAGAGTGGTTCTAATAAATTGTTATATATTTAATTTTGATATTTCCATACTAGGTACACAATAAATGGAATCAATAGTTTGATGAATTGTAAGACATATTTCATATAAGAAGTTTCTGTTACATATTACAGATAATTAAAATTTTTAATATTATATTTGGTATGTCAAGTGACTGTTATGGCCTCCCAGCCTTCTACACTGTAGTGGAGTCAGCAACTATTTGTCATGTATTTTTAGGGTAGATAATACTATACTTGTTCCATATAATAGGATGATTTGAATTAGGCCTAAAGTTCATTGATATGTGGTGCTGAAATTCCAATGTAGGTATTTGGCAACTAATGTCACTTTGGATAGATTGGTTATTATTTATATATTAAATATTTTGTAAAACTATAGATAAAAAATCTGTTTATATCATTTTTTAATTTTGTGTTATATAACAAGCAAAACCTAAAATCTTACCAGGAACAATCACAAAATTACATGCAATAAAAGGTGGACAAGTCATTTTAATAACTACAAAGCAAAGTTTCTGGTCTTCAGTTTTTGGGAAAGTCAACTGTATTTCCTTGTCTTGTTTTTTTTTTTTTTGCAGAACATGATCCAGCTCCAATTTTCTTTGATCAGAAAGTCCAGGAGCTTCTCAAGAGAGTCACTGGCATGGACTTTGATAAAATATTCAGAAGCAGATTAAATGAAAAAGAGTTGGAAGTGCCCAAGTATGAATTTCTCACTGACAGTGAATTGAATGAGGTAAGTTGCAAAGTTTGGAGACAAGAAAAACTCAGGATGATACTCAGATATTTTCACGGTGGATAACAAAGTATTACATATCAATCTTTTGCATTTCGCTTGGATAAAGATGGTTATATAGAGGTTACCCACTTACC